TCAACGAGGGGAAACCTGATTGTTGGTTGGTGAATATCTCTTCATTAGCCGAAAAACTATACAATTGATCATACACTATTCTCTCGAACACCTTAGCTGTTATTGAGATAACAGAGATTGGCCGATAATTATTCACATCAGTTCGCTCACCTTGTTTAAACAATGGAGTCACTCTAGCGCATTTCCAGTCATCTGGAAATAAACCAGAACTTAAAGGGTTGTTGAAAATGTTACAAAAAGGGATCGAAATAAGATCCGTGTATTCCCGAATTAGTTTGGCAGAAATATTATCGAGACCTGTTGCTTTGGATTTAGATAATTTATTTAAAAGAGAAAAGACATTACTACTACTAATTGGACTGAAAATGAATTTGTTGTTGCTGGTAACAATGTAATCGGCATAACTTGAACCGTCGGTAACAAGGGGTACCTCATTAGCTAGTTTGGTTCCAATTGTTGAAAAGTGATCATTAAGGGAGCTATGTCACACACTGCGCATGTGCGCGAAGAAGCGTTACATCTTGAAAACGTTCGCCAAATTTTTCAAGTTCTCCGGGTGATTCAATATCAAGAGTTTATCGTTATTTATCTCAGCCATCCGTTAACAGTTCGCATAGTTATACGTTCGTTACTATTGTACAGCCCTTTTAGAAGGTTCCTGTGTGTTTTTGTTTCAATTACTCTGATCAACGGCTTATTTGAGGTCAACTGTTTGAAGGTAACAAAATGTCCTCTCATGGCGACCGCCGATTAGGAAGCGGCCGCAAGAAAATCTTCGCCAGCCAGACAGCGAGGCTTCAGTTTTGGCGGAAGACTCAAAAAAGGATTTCGTTGGATGGAACAATTTTCTCATCTTGGGTTTCTGCGAGGAACAACTGCAGATATGACAACGATTCCATGTTTGATGCCCATCTTCTGTCACTCGAGAGAAGAAGGTAAATGCATAAATTAAGAATTTGTTCATGCTTAGCGTGCGTATATCGAGTTATGGATGCACGCGGGAAGTTTGGAGAGCACGAAAGATACCTAAGAGTTGCACGAGGCCATAGCCAAGTGCAACTCTAGCTTCTTGAGTGCTCTCCAAACTTCCCAAGTACATCCATAACTCGATATACGTACAGCTAAAAGCATGAGCAAATTCTTTTATAACATAGCTCACAAAAATTCTTGCTTTTCGATTAACTGCAAAATTCTCGTAACGCGCGACACAATAACAAATGGTTCTATTGGCTGATTACGAACACGCCACAATCGTCTAGTTTGAATGAAAATATTCTTTCTGTAAAAGTGAGAAAGAAAATTTGCTTCTTTATTCGTTAACGATCAATGGAAACAAAGCAGAAACAAAGGTAAAAGAGTCTTAAAGTTCACCTAAAGTTAAACTAACATGTTCGTAAGAAGTCGTGGAGTATGGTTTGGATTTGCTGAAAAGATGTTTACGTTTTGCTCGGCGAAATCCAGAAAACATGTTTTTAGCGAAGACGACTGTTATCCTTCTTTAAACTTATATTCATTTACGAACATTGGCTAGTCATTACGGCTTCTTGAGAAGACCTGGCAGCAGTTGTTTTTGTGAGTAATAAATTTATGTCTTGTTGTGTAATTTGTGTTGTTATTGCGATAGAAATTTTTCTGCTTCAGTCGGATTGTCCAGAGATAACAAAGTGCATAACAAATTTAAAAACAACAATAAAAACGGAAATTTTGCCTTTAAATGTTGTTGATGACCAGTTGGTGTCTGTTCTGTTCACAGTGAATGTCTTTCGGCCAAAATTTGCTGCAGCTGGTCTTCGACAAATTTGCTAAACACGCAACTTGCGAGTTTTTTTTAATTCGGCTTTATTTTTGCTTCTTGTTGGATCAGGACCTAAAAGGTCAATGCCGATAGAAAAATTGGGCAGTTCTTCGCTGGTTTCTTCCATATTTTAATGAGAAGGAAAAGTGCACTGCAGTTTAAAAGACGACAACTTTGCAGCCAAGTAAAAAGAAATGCTCACGTCATCAGTCCGGAATATCCCTAAATTTAAGGACAGGGCCAACTGGTCACGCGACACTTTTCAACCAATGAGAGGGCGCGCTTGTGTTTATCAACAAACAAATCAAAACATGGCCCCAGTGATCAAAAATTTTCAAAACAACGGACGGAGTCGGACAGAATTAAAGATGACCTTACAGTACTCGCCTAGGTTTCACATTTAATATTTTAAAGAAAACATTGCATGTAAGAGAATAAGAGCATTAATCATTGCAAGGAACGAATCATTGGGGCGTTCTAACTGATTCCGGACCGATCGCAGAGGTTGTGGCTTCACTGGCTTGGCTTGCAAGATTTTTGATAGAAGCAAACTAGTCCCGTGTAAAAATAGCCTTAGAGAGAGCGTAAAAATTTGTTGAGATCGTACAAAACAGGATTGGTACTACCTATTAACTTCTACAGGACAAGAATCAAAGAATCAGTCATCATAACAAGAATAGAAAGTAGTTCAAATTTATTAATTTTTCTTGTTTGTGTTTTGTGTTGTTTCGTGTTGACTTCACGCATCTGGTGCCTTCTTTGCTTGCTGTAGTACCTGCAATGTTTTAATTTTATCCCAGATAATCAGTGCATGTTCAATGAGTAGCGAAATACATCATTTACAATTGAGATTTGCCTTGTTTCTTTGATTGTTTTTTAACGGTGGATGAACATTTGGAGAATCCAACAACATTAAATCTTTCCAGGTTAGTGAATTTCAGAAACCAAGCGGTTAGTATCTACGTTGCGCTTATGATCTTCAATTTCATCCCCGCAAATTCGGCAAAGTGAGGCGAAATGTTGGACGTGAATATCCATAAGACTAATAAAGTTGTTTTGGCCTTGAAAAGAAAAAAGGCAAAGGCTCGTACTCAAAAAAGTAATAACACGGCTCTGTGAGAAACCCGGGCGTCGAAAACGTACGTGTTTTGGTCCTCGGAATTCAAAAATTGTCTACCAAAATTCTAGTTTGTCTACCATCCCCACATTCAACATGATAAAATTTAATCGATATGACAATCGAGGAAAAATATCCCGAACTTCGTAAAATCTGTGAATCGAAAAAATAATAGACACTTGTTCACCTACCTTGAAAACCGACCAAAATCTCGCCTATACATCGCGTTGTTTAAAGGATAAAAGAAGAAATAAGCCCCAAAATGTGCTGAATATTTCACGAGACACTTCCAATATGGCTTCCGATACGCTGTCCACTTAAAAAAATTGTGTATGCCTCATGAAAAGTCTTTAAAATATGCCTGAGAGCCTCGAAACGATGACTGATTCTGTCCGACTCCGTCCGTTGTTTTGAAAATTTTTGATCACTGGGGCGATGTTTTGATTTGCTTGTTGATAAACACAAGCGCGCCCTCTCATTGGTTGAAAAGTTTCTTTTACAGGGAAATTGCATCTACCGTTTGTAAAAAAAGAGGGGCATTGTCCGTAAACCTTCGTCAAACCGACGCCACATTGAAGGTGAGACTACAGCTGTACTTGATTCTAGATTGAATAAATAACTAGTCCTAAAACTGAAAGGCCCAAAAAAGTTCGATAAATATCTGTACTCCCACATTCTACGCTACTCTATAAAACTGAAGTATATTCCTCTGTTATGAAGGGCCACTGTTGTCATCCACTCCTTTGCAATGATTATCTGTACCAGCACAAGAAAAAATTGATTATTCTGTTGTCAGTGTAGGCAATGATGATTCGAGGTGAGTAAGCATTTATTTCTTGTTTTGAATAACTTTCTAGTGCGGTCTGAAAACTGGGTCTATAGGGGAACTTCTATAAACAAGTGGTATGAGTTACATGTATATAGTTGTTTGCATCCTTGCTGGTTCAAAGTTGTTGGTTCGTCTGGTTGAGCAAGTGATTCGACAAGAACAAGAGATCCTATTTTCCTAAAAGAGAGGAAGGCCAAAAAAGGATAATTCGGGTTTGAACCATAAAAAACTACTTCTGCCAATTCACAAGTTTTTGTCACCTCTACAACATTCAAGAAACTTACCGCTACGGAACTCTCCAGCTCACGCGTGCCATAATTCTAACTCCTGATGGTCCAGCTGGACAAAGTGTATTGTAAACTGGCTAAAGACAACTTCTAGGGGGCTAATCTAACAAAAAATCCGAGAAACCGACGGATCTTCCTCAAATCCAATATGGCCGACAGCTCGTTGCTTCAGCTTGAACTGCTCAAATCTTGCACATGCGCAGGTCGTGACATAGCTCCTTTAAATGCATTGGAAAGCTCGTGACAATTGGTTACTGAGTTCTCGTTTAGTTTTAATTCTTTCACAGACGGGTTATTTTTCTGACGGGACGTGAGTTCGTTAATGAATTGCCAGGTTTTACCTGAGTCGACATTAGACTGAATAAACGCACTAGCATAATAGGATGCCTTTGTAGATTTGACTTCTCCATTGATCCTATTACGTAGCCTTTTGTACATAGCCCAGTCTTGAGGATTGTTAGACTTAATAGCTTGCCGTTTAGCAATATCGCGATCGCGCATACCCTTCCGCAGGTCTGATGTGATCCAAGGTACCTTGCCCGACCTAACACGTTTAGTATTGATTGGAGCATGACTGTTCACAATACACAAAAATTTAGCTTTCCAGTCAGCCCACAAAACTTTGGGTCATCACTGGTACAAGACCAATCCTGTCGAGAAATATCCCTGCGAAAGTTTTCTCGATTGAAATTACTAAAATTCTGTAAGTTTTAGTTGAATGCCCTTTGGAAGCAAACTCTGGAGATAGTTTACGATAAACATAAATGAGGCTGTGATCACTAATGCCAATATGCAAAACTCCTGAACAGACTACCCTGTTAATACAGTTTGTAAATATTACATCAATTAAAGACGATGATGACTCAGTAATACGAGTTGGTTCTGTTATCAGCTGCTGTAGTCCATTTATATCAGAAATTTCACAAAGTAAACGTGTATTAGAGTCGAAATGGGCGGAGGCCACATCGCAATTCAGGTTACCCNGAGAAATATCCCTGCGAAAGTTTTCTCGATTGAAATTACTAAAATTCTGTAAGTTTTAGTTGAATGCCCTTTGGAAGCAAACTCTGGAGATAGTTTACGATAAACATAAATGAGGCTGTGATCACTAATGCTAATATGCAAAACTCCTGAACAGACTACCCTGTTAATACAGTTTGTAAATATTACATCAATTAAAGACGATGATGACTCAGTAATACGAGTTGGTTCTGTTATCAGCTGCTGTAGCCCATTTATATCAGAAATTTCACAAAGTAAACGTGTATTAGAGTCGAAATGGGCGGAGGCCACATCGCAATTCAGGTTACCCATCAGACAATAGTCAAGATCGAAAGAGTCTAATTTTCCGATAAAGGTCTCATAGTATGAGAAAAGTTCAGCTGAAGAGCAAGGTGGCCTATACCAAGTAACTACGAGGAATGGCTCAGAGCATGGTTTTTGAATTTCTAAACATAAATTCTCAAGATCATTCAGGTTCAAGTCACCGCGTATTACAAATATTCCAATATTGTCGCTCGAAACGAAGTTGGGCAAACATCTTTAAAACCCACAATTTATTTGAATATCCTCACTGGCAACATTTAGAAGAACTACCCGAAAATAGCATTGCGAAGCAGTGTCTTGAAGTGTCTCATCATATCAAATTGAAAAACATTAGCAAATACAGGAAATCATTCCTTTATCTCTTCAGTATACCAAATACGCTCACAGTTTGCAAAGAAGGAATAAACACAACAGGACCTGATGATGTTCAACAAATCAGACAAATAAATAAATAAATTAGAGATATCTAATTTGACACAAAATATTCTTTAGATAGCTAAAACACATCAATCATCTCTCATTCAACTAAATAAGAAAGTAAAATTTTACTCTCTTTTCAAACAAGACAACAAGAAATCTCATTACTAATGGACCTTATAAAAAAACACAAATCATCGACGCACAGTGGCAAAATTTAGAACAAGCAGTCATAAATTAATGATAGAGTACAGGAGATATTGCACGCCCAAATTTCCTGAACATCTCAGGTTGTGTCAACACTGTTCTTTAAATGAATCGAAGACGAGCAACTGCACTTCGTGCTAAACTGCACTCTTTACCTTAATGAAAGGGGACAATATCTCCTTGATTCTATAAGTCGTAAATATCCTAATTTTCACCCAATGAGTGCAAACGATATGATACTTTTTCTCTTCAGTAATGTAGATCCCTCTGTCTGCAAGAAACTTGGCCATTTTATTTTTCTGGCCTTCGAAAAACGTGAAAGTAGATCATTAACCATAGCTGCAATATCAGTTAGCATTTTCCGTGTAAGTTTAGCCTTTATTATTATTATTATAACTATTATTATTATTATTATTATTATTATTATTTACAATGATAAATGTTACCATCTTTTCTTTCTTTCTTTTTTTCTTTTACCTTGACATATTCAATATTGTAATCGGCAATACCATCTAGTCATGGAAATGCCAATAAATGTTGTTGTTGTTGTATTGTTAACTCGGAAATAAAACCGGCCTCGAGTTATCGTTATGTATATCGTTATAACGGAAGAAATTGAATACTCTTTTTAAGATTGAAGATCCCATAAACCTAAACCATGCAGAGCTGCACAAACCGAGGGAGCTAAACTTGGAAGTTTCCATCTGTAAACTCCCAAGGGAACCATTTTCCATGTACGGAGGCCAAGAAACAATGCATTTGTTTATGACGACCTATTGTCAAGACATCATGACTAATTTCGGCTGCGTGCATGGTTTCCAGTTTTCCAAAATGTCAGAAATATACACTAGTAAACAAGCGTACTTTTCAACCAAAGTTTTCATTCTAACAATTTCACTACACTATGGTTCAAAAGTAATACTAAATTTTCGGTGGTTGTGATATAAATCAAATGTATGTATTCGATTCATGTCATGTGTTGATCTCATACAAATAGATAGTTTTACCGCCCATCCATGAAAATTTACATTCTTCCTCTAAAACTGCTCCGAGATATAAATTCGGTCCATATATGAAGGCGAAGAAACAATTTACTTGTTACTGATGACATATCGTAGCTAGATCGTCAAGACATCATGACTAATTCTGATTGAGTTTTTGCTTTTGGTCCTTTTATTCAAACGGAACTATGAATTCGTAATAATTTAGGACGTCCTGCTGGGTGGTACTATTTTCTTAGCTTATACCATTCAAAAGGGCTGGACAATTTTCAAGAATAAAAACCACTCCTGTTTGGTTATCCTTGGATTTCAAATGTGAAACCAGAAAAAGGATTTTGCACTTCCCTATTACTGTTATACCTGAGTACACACTATAGAGTGTCCCCCTGGGTGGACACTCTTAGGTGATTACAACAACAAGGAATGAATAAAACTATCTTTGTTCAGCTGTCCCCAGCTTGTATCAAAAAGCCTTCAGAGGGCAAGGTATGTATTACAATGTAACAATAACAAGCTGCATGTCATGTAGTAATACATGCAACCAACTCCTGATATAGTTTAGGATGTCCTGCTAGGCGGTACTTTTTCCTTAGATAATACAGGCCAAAAGGACAAGGCATTTTTTACTAAAAAAAAAAAACACTCCTGTTTATTTACCCTGGCCTTTTGGAAACCTAAAGAATGACCGTTTAGCAATAAAAAACCCAGATATGATATGCCTCCAAACAAATCTTGCTAAAACTCAGGATGTCCCGCTGGACGGTACCATTTTCTCCGGTAATACCGGCCAGAAGGACAGGGCCACTTTTATGAATAAAAATATTCCTATACAGTTATCCTAAGCTTTCGCGATCTAATCGCCAAGCAAGCGAGACTGATTGCCGCTGTGGGCGCGTTCTTGTCTTTTATCAAATCGTGGCATGACGTTAAGGTCTCTAAATAAGACCCCGAGGGGGTGTCTCATTTTTTTGTCTAGGATTACTCTGGCGCATCGTTTCTGTAAATTAATTACGTCTTGGTCGTGCGGCTTCGGTTTGCTTCATGTCTCCAAGACAATAACCCCCGTAGTCAAGTATTAGCTGGATAAGTGAGTTGTAAAACAAACTTCTCAGCTTTCAGTCACAGAAATGTATCTGTTCTTTTCAAAAGGCGAAGTCGCTTTCTTGTATTCGATACCGTTGTTTAAAAAGAGTTGTCTATCTTTATGCCAGATAGTTTAGTATCGGCTACAGAATCTTCTCTCAGAAGAGAGCCCTTAGGCTAATGTTCTTCGCTGAACCAAGAACTCATGCAGTTCCGTTGTTTTTAGAAACAAAACAGTTGCCGATATCGTTCTTGCTATTTGAGCAAATGAGCCTTTTAATGTACGACGTCCATAATAATCTCGCTCCTGATAACATTAAGAATATGTTTACGAAACTGTCTTCTGTCCGCAGTTACCGGACTAGATCTGTTACTAATTAACAATTAATTCATGTGTCAGCGTGCNCTTCGCTGAACCAAGAACTCATGCAGTTCCGTTGTTTTTAGAAACAAAACAGTTGCCGATATCGTTCTTGCTATTTGAGCAAATGAGCCTTTTAATGTACGACGTCCATAATAATCTCGCTCCTGATAACATTAAGAATATGTTTACGAAACTGTCTTCTGTCCGCAGTTACCGGACTAGATCTGTTACTAATTAACAATTAATTCATGTGTCAGCGTGCGTATGTCGAGATATTGAGCACTCGGGAAGTTTGGAGAGCACGAACGAGGCGTAAGAGTTGCACGAGGCGCAGCCGAGTGCAACTCTCGCCTCTTGCGTGCTCTCCAAACTTCCCGAGTGCTCAATATCTCGACATATGCACGCTGACGCATAAACTAATTGTTAATTACTATGTTGAACAAGTTAGAATCGAAAATATGAAGCGAGCTTTCTCTATTTCCGGTGCTTTAATTTGGAACAGTATTTCACTTTCTAACAAAACACTTAAAAAAATCAATTCAAAAGCAAACTAAAGAGAAAACTCTTTGAAATACTGGAAAAAGAAGACGACTATATTAGAGTTTCCGATATTACAACGGGGCAATTCTCAAAATCGTAACATGGTGTACTTCCGTATGAAGTACAGTCTGCCTTCCTGTCTCACTCTGGCTATAAACCACACGTTTAACATATATATATATTTATACAATTTTCTTTTTTCTCTTGTACCCGCCTCGAATAGCCTTCGCTAATTGCTGGCACAAGCTTTGTAAGCTATATTTAATTTGAAATAAACTTCTTGTTTTTGTTGTTGTTGTTGTTGAAGACGAGCTCAGAGCACTAGCCTAATCACCAATTAACCGACTGCTGCTTCAGCCACGAACACTGAGATACACTTTAGAAAATAGAAGTAGTTGATTATGTAACTGAAAATGAAGCAGCGTACTTACCACGGAAACTGCGAGGTACTGTTCTCTGTGACGCAACCAGCAGTCAAATGAAAGTTATGCTGCTTGTTAGCTCTAATCAATGGTCAATTTTCTGTACGAGTCATAGGACCGTGAAATCTCGACATTTTGACACTTTTCCAATCGTGGGGTAATGAACCGTTCACCCGCTAGATCATTCTTTCTGTTGACAGTTGCTTGAAAAAACGATCTTTGAACCTAACGCACTTGTAAAATGTATTAAATGATAAGAAGGCAGTCTTTGCCAAATCACTGACATCGTATCAGAGGATTATAGTTTTTGTTTGATATTAGTCAAAAGTAAATGAAATCAACTGCGGTAAACTGAAGATACAGTCCAGTTCAGAACATCAGGTTAAATTTTCAAAGCTATTCCCGGCGTTGTTTAGCATTGGTCACCCAGTGAAGGCCCTTACATAATGGAGACTGCAAGAAAAGGATGGGCGGCCGGTTTTGAGTATTTTTAGAGTAGGGGGTATTCATTTTTAGTGCCTATTAAAAGCCATCTGTGCATCATGATTTTAAAAAAAGCCATCGTTTATGATTTTTCCAAAAAACTGTTATCATCAAATAGTTTGGAAATGAATAAACTGACGATGAATGGCGAGATTTAGAATTTTAGACCAGACGTCACAATCCCACGGTCAATTTAGAATAAGACGCGTCATTCATGTTCACTGAACTGGGAATGAACCCGAATGACGCAGGTGTTTTGTAGGAATAAACTTCCTTCGTGGAAATTAATTAAACAATCATATTGCTGGGCCGAAAAGTCCAAAGTACATATTTACTGAACGACTTGCCATTTCATTGACTTATTCTAGTTTTGGCTTTAAACTAGGAGTTTTTCCTACTTATAACTCCGAATAGATTGGCATCTTTGCGGTGGCAGTCACCTGAGTTTGACTTTTGGGAGCCAGTTGCATA